TAAGCATGTGAAAGCCCGTAAATCTCACGTACGAGTTGTCTAGTGGAAGTAAACGCATCAAAGTATACGTTAGACTATAGGTGTCGTCACACGCCTCACTTGCAGCGTATACAACGTAATTTTCAAAGCCTACGTAACTTCTCCATACGCAAAATTAAAGTGTCATTTGAGTGTTCGAACGTGTAGGGTCATTAGTTTTTTTTTCTAGGACTGGCATCCGAACGATGACATTATCGTGAACTAGTTCACTCTGACTGTGTTCCTATCCTTAGACAGCACATAAACAGCCTACGCAGACAACTTGGAAGAACGCACCAAGCTCATGCTGTCAGAGAAATGGCACACGTTTAGACGCCGTTTACGCAACGAGGCGCGCCCTCGCATCGAGGAGAGAAAGCTAAAAAAACGTAATTGTGTTATTTTCTGACTTATTTTGTGTTGAAATGTACAAATAATGAACGTTACTCACATTAAACATCTGACGAAGGGTTTATAAGTCTGCAGACGATCCTTTCGGCGTGATTCGATCTATTGGAGTGATTCACTGAGCCGCCATCTTATTTCGACAGCAAAGTAGCCTGCATTGTGTTTGTCTACGATGCGGTCTTCTTGGAGATGTCTATTTTGCAGGCTAATAAGAAGTTGATTGGTACTCAAAATGGCCGCCGTCGATTTAGCTATCTATTCAGCCGTCTACGTTGAGTATTGGAGCACAGTCTATGTCAGACACGAACGTTTGCGAAACGCTGTCGCATTAGCCCCACATCTCCGTTGCAAATACCAGAAAAAAATGGCCGATCCCGTGTAGAGTGGGAATCAAGGATATGCGAAGCACGAATGAGTAAGATTGATAAGTCACTGTAAAATCAGCACAACGTTACGAGGCGAAGAGAACTTATGTCATACATGACTTTCATGTAATGATTGTTATGCTTGGACGTGATACTTACCTTCGTCATCCGTGACGTGACGTAATACCAAGTTTGGCATTTGTGAAGCTAGCGAAACGGCCGCGAGCACATTATGAGCGTGGCATGTAGCAATATTGTTACATGACACACATCTCATGATTATCATGTTTGCACCAGTCACATAATTTTGTCATTCATTCACGTACCATGATAGCAAACATGGTATTTGTGAAGCTAGGGAAAAGGCCGCGAGCGCATCATGAGCGGGACACGTAATAATGTTTGAGGAGCGAAGCTCCTTAGGTTGTAGGTCTCTGTCCATCCTCCTATGATGTATGTAGCCACCGGTGGCACATACCCGAAAGAGCGGTTCTTAGAATGTCCGCTTGGTGGGGGCACTTGTATATGATGAATACCCGGTGAAAAGATGTGAGATGGCTGTACTTGAAGTGTTCACTAGATAGACGGACAGACGGAGATACAGAGAGATAGACAACTGATGGACGCAAAAGAGACAGAGGGGCGGACTCATGAACGGACGGATGGGCAGACAGAGGGACGGCCGTATGAACAGACGCACGGACAAACTAATGGACCGACGGACGAACGGACGTATGGACGAACGCATGGAGAGAGGCATGGACGTACAAATGCGCCGATGGTCATACGAATGAACGGACAAACAGACGGACGCATGGACGGCCATATAGACGGCTGCATGGACGGACAGAAGCAAGAACGAATGGGCGGACTAAAGCATGGACGCATTGACGAAGGCTTCGCCCCACCAATCATCATTCACTCCGTGAATATGTTTGTGATTTTTTCTACATAAAACGCATCTCTTGCATATTATGTTTGCATCAGTCACATACCTTTGTCATCTATTCACGTGCCATAATACCGAATTCGGTATATGTGAAGCTAGCGAAACGGCCGTGAGCGCATCATAAGTGTGGCATGTAGTCATGTTGTTACACGACACGTAGGGAAGTTATTTCATTGAATTTTGAAGCAGAGAAAGATATGTGAACTCTGCATCCGAGCAGGCGCACGACTGGCACGCATGGCTCCCGCTTGCCACGCAAACTACCTGGGTTCGATCTTCCCTCGAAAACAGACTTTTCTATGTGTTTTGTTATTTTTGCATCTTTCTCAATTTTTTGGTCATGCACAATATGCTGCTTTTTCGCTCACAGTCGGCGATGCTTATGCCGACGTCGACGCCAGGAATTCTGCGATAGGAACCGTATATTGCTCTCGGATTGAAAGAACTTGGTGCGCATATGCACCACAAATACCGGCAGAAAGGGAAAGGTGCACAAAAAGATAAAAGTTGAAAGGAAGAAGGTAAAAGAAAGAAAGCATGTAAGAGAGACGAAAACGATAGAAAATAAACGAAAAAAGAAAGAAAGATGCAGCAAAAGAAAGAGACATGGAGAGAGAAAGAATCAAAACTCGCCGGGTACTCTATCCACTGGGCTAAGGCAATAGAAAGGACAAGCTGTTTTTTTCGTTTTTCTTCGCAGTTCGATGTGCTAGAACCCTACCCCGCTCCCCTTCGAAACATATGCAGCTAACGTAGTTTTGCACTATCTCTAAGATTGGAGGCATTGCTTCAATAGGTTTTGGCGTCGCTCTGTGGTCAGCCCAACTTTTATCAATGACGGTGTCATTTCATGTATTCATGACGTGATGTCAGATTATGCGTTGCGTTGACGTCATACTGACGTCACAAACGTTTGCGATCTGTGACATCCAGATGTCGTCCTATATTGTCGTCTTTACGCGACGATGATCGTCATTCGGTTGACGGTGCCGCCGCCGATTGTAAACTATTGCGTTTAATTAGGCATACAAGGCGTCCGCCTTAAAACAGCGACTTTTGGAAAGAAGAAATGTTGAAAGGCTTCGTGAAAGAAAGTTGATCGGATGCGCAGGAGGTAAATGTGCATAGCCTCATTTTTAACAACTAAGATCACGCCTGCTAATCTGTTCTGCTAAGCTGTTCGACGAGCCTTCGCGACATCTAGTTAGTAAATTCTGTCTTCAATTGTGAGTCAGTAGTGCAAAAACTTTTTGGAGGAAAACTATTCAATGCAAAGTACGTTACTGATACATTGTGTTGCTGGGAGGATATGCTCAGTAACGCGTACTGTTCATGCACGCTTTCTGCAACACTATGATAGTCCCAGTAGCTAGATTTTCGATAGTTTTGTTGTGTGTGGTCTGTCCACAGTGTTTGTCCTAAGCATACTTGACAAACTCACTCATAGATCGACTTACGCTCAGGCCGCATTCCACCTTTCTTTTCCTATTTGAACAATATACTTGACGTTATATTTTTGTAGCATGCATTTAAAGAGCAGGAACTACCAATAAAGTGTATTTGTGATTTGTCCTATGCCGCTTTTCACCTTTTTGCTATATTTTGAATAATAGTAAGACACAAGCTATCCAACGAACGAAGAGAGTTTTTTTCTCGGAAGAGCAGTGGCCAGCGAGCATGCACTCACTTGCTGACGTGTTACTGAGTATATAATTGAACAAAAGCGCCCTTCAAAGTTGTGGGAAGAACAAATGAAAATGGGCATAGTTTCGCATATCGATATGTGAGTTTCCTCCGCAATAAACACAAGAAGGTTCGTTTTATGAGCTGTCCAACCTAAAACAAATCAGCGTATGCAAGACAGTGTCCTCAATGGCTCCGGATCACTTCTACCATCTGAGATTCTGTCATGAACACCTAAACCACAGCCTTGAAAGGCAAAGCTTCCGTCTTGCCTACACTACCATTCTTACAGTCACTATCTCCTCCTCGCCTCTCGTATCTTTGTGAAAGCCATGGAATGTTAACACGAGGCGTTATGCCAGTCTGGATTTCACGCTCTTTGACTACATGTTGCTTTTTCCGCTCGCGAAGTCGCTGAAGCAGAAAACGAAATTAAACCAGTGTATTACGCATGATACTCATATGAGATAAGGTAGAACGGGAATGTGACTGCATGATAAAACAAGGTGCTGAACAATTCACAAGACGTACATCTCGTACATCAATTAATCGAAAACCTATTTCATCCTGACGTCACATCCAACCTGCTGGCTCCAATGATAGTGCCAAAAAAGTTGGAAAACAAGGAGAGAATAAGGAGCTCACTCTCGGCACTTTTAGAGGTTGTTATACGGCCCCTAGAGCACAATCACACTGCAGAGTGCGCTTCCTTCTGTTATTTCAATTTCAGCATAATTCGAACGCCACAGATTAAATCAAACACGTGTCTTTCGGGAAAGTAGAATGACGAAGGCGTGAAAATGGTAGGAGCTTCAGAAGAAATTGATTGGCGAGTGAGAGACGAACTGTTGGAGTGTTGAAGAAACTAGAGGCCTACGTATATACAGAGACGTTCACAGAAATGACTATTCTTTTAGTGTGGTGATCGCAGTTTTGAAAGCCAACATGCATGTAATCTGACTTCTGCAATAGAGCAATTCAGTGGTCTGCCCTGAGTTGATAAGGAAGCTTTAAAATGGAGCATTCGTGTCACCGTGCATTTAGTGATTATTTAGCATAGTGTTCTCCCAGAGCAGTCGTTTACGTTCAGAAGTCAAGCCCGCAACATCACCGTATCACAAACGGTGCTTGCGGTTTGTCCAGGACGGTAAACGTTTGTGTAAGCACACAACAGTAAAAGCCACGATAGAGCGCAGAAGAAAATACTGTAGTATTGAGTCTAATCAGCACTGTACAAAAGATCAGTTGTCAACTGAAACATGTACAAGCATACCTACTCAAATTAATTGCTCTTAGAGTTGCTACCATGTGATACCGTCACAATTATGTTTCTCGCCGTTGTGTTTTTTTACGCAGGCATCAATTTGATCGTGCAAAAGCAATTGAATATTCATGAAGAAGATTTATTATGCTACAGAAATTTAGCCTGCGGGAATTACAGAAGATCAGTTTACCAGAAAAGAAACCATCACCCGACTTTTGTTGGCTATTCTTAGGGAAGCCATGGGTCAAAATATTGACCTTTGCAGCTATGCGTTATCTTGTACTCATACTCGCCATTTTCTGTTTACAGCGCACGACCAATTTACCTGCTCCGATCCACCTGAAAAGGGACCATGCAACGAAACCATTACCCGTTTCTACTTCAATGTCCAAACCAAGACCTGCCAGGAATTCGTCTACGGCGGCTGCCAGGGCAACGTGAATAACTATGAGACTAACGAAGAGTGCAGAGTCAGCTGTGAATGTAAGTTTCGCACTCACTACCGAGGGCCCGAGCGTAACCAATTGCAACCAGGCTTTTATGCTTTGAGAAAGTGATTAGAAAGAATAATTTATTCGCTTCCCGAATTAGCATGTACGGATAAATAGCTACCCATTTCACTTTGAAGAAAAGGACAAGCCGTAGTCCGCATCGCTGTTGGCTTCTCATTTATTCGTTGTTCTACTCTGGTCTTATTCTAATGATGATAGCGTCATTTGTCTTCTGCACAATGTTCAACATCCTCCGCCCCATAAATGGCGAGTGATGACTGGGAAGACTAATAACCACAGCTTTTAGGTACACACTTTTAAATGCCAATGATATTTTAGCAAACTTCAGCAACAATGAGCATATCTATTCCTTTATCTATCTATCTATCTTTTTATTCATGTATCTATCATCTATCTATCTATATATCTATCTTTATCTAGCCGCCTACGACGTTTAGCTCTCCTGGCCGTTTTGATATGGTATCGATACCAAATTTGATATGTCATAGCATGACTATATAACAAGCATGAGTGACTATTCGCAACATGAAATACATGACATGTATGTCATGATTACAAGTCATGGTCTTGCTGCTCTTGTGGTTGTTTCGCTCACTTGACCACTTGCAAAACTGGCAAAACATGAGTGCATGGCGAACACAAACGACAGACCATAACATGAAAATCATGACATGCGTGTCACGTAATAACATGACTACAAGCCACACTCATGATGCGCTCGCGCCCGTTTCGCTAGCTTCGCATATACCACATTTGTTATTATGGGACGTGAATGGATGACGAAGGTATGTGGCTGGTGCAAACATGGTAAGCATAAGACGCGTATCATGTAAAGACATGACTACATGGTACGCTCATGATGCACTCGTGGCCGTTTCGCTAGCTTCACATGTACCAGATTCGGTATAACGGGACGCGAACGGACGACATAGGTGAACGACAAGTCCAAACGGGATAAGCATAACATGCGTGTCACGTAACATGACTACATGCCACACTCATGATGCACTCGCGGCCGTTTCGCTAGCTTCACATGTGCGAATTCGGTATTACGTCACGTCAATTGATGACAAAAGTATGTAACTGGTTCAGACAAGATAAACCGTGAGATGCGTGTCATGTAAGAACATGACTGCATGCAATATTCAAGGCGCCAATACGATGCGACGTGACTTTTTTTTTCCTTACTTCCGGTTAAACTTCACAAAGTGGTTGCTAAGTTAAATATATATGACAGTACACAAGAAACAATACAACAAATTGAAGAATACTAAGGCCGTCAAGCATTACTATAACACATCAAGTCCTACAATTCTTTTATGGTCAGTAGGGCTTCACCATTTCTACCCATAAAGGTACACATTTGTCTGTTCTTACTACCTCAAGGAATCATGAGATACTTTCTTTAAAATACTCTCTTGCTGGTCTCCTGTCAGGGTCACAGTGAAATTCAGCAATTCTGGAGCGCCATATACAAAGTAAAAATTTTTACACTCAGAAGGGTGTAATTGAACTTGTCCCATGGACGACACCCTAAGGGTGTTAATTCAGCACCTTTCAAAAAGGGTGCTTTTCTATGCACACTTAGAATAGGGTGTACATGTAAAAAAACTGCAGGGTGTTACAAAAACACCCTTAAAGAATGGTGCCTTCGATGTCCTTAACTTTTTTAGCACCCTCTGAGGGGGTGCGAGAAGGGTGCACAAGGGTGTTGAGTGCTCATGGCAGGGGTGCCAGTATTCTTTTAGACTGCACTAATAGACATCAGCATGCACTGATTACACAATACTTGAAGAAAGTGGTCCTGATTATCAATGGTGCGCCACCTGTCAAGCTCCATTCATTGTGTGTGGGCAAAAATATAAACACGTACATCGTGTATGAACTTCTGCTGGATCTATATATACTTCACAGTATATGCATAATGCGCGTTACAGAAAACTGAGCCTTGCTGCCCTTGCATGTTGCGTTTATTTATAGGCTAATAAAACTTATAAACTTTTCTTCTCCCACACAACTTTTTCACCAGATGTGTAACATGTTGACGTATACGTACACTACACACGCAACACCTCAAATGTTTGTTATATTTTTTCAGTTTCACTTCATTGACAATTCTTTGAAACATACAATTACACTGCTTTCAGTTTAGTATACTGCTTGAAGTACATAGAGACTACGAATGAAACACACGCTAATATATCTCTACAATTCTTTCAAGTATATAAAATCCCAGTGGTTTCCAGTTTAATACTCCTTCATGTACGCAATCGGTTAACAGGAATGAAATACAGGCAAATATACTTATAATTCTTACAAATATATACAATCACCATGATTTCACTCTATACGCCTTCATGTACACAATCGTTCCCAAGAAGTGCTGCACACAAATATATATAGAGATAGTGTTTTCAAAGTATACACTCACAGTGGTTTAAGCTTTGTATTCCTGGATGTATAACAATTGGTATGAGAAATTATGTACATGCAAACATATATGGGTTTTCGCACATATATCTTTAGCGAATACTAGAAAAATCAATACAATGATCTGAAACAGAATAAGCTAAAAACGAACACAAGACTGAGTCAGGACACACAAAAACATAAGAGGTAATGCATAATTACAGCTAATGACACAAGTTGGTCATTTTTTTCCAAATGTCTCAGCCATTTTGACAACCATCTCAAATGTATTCGAAAAACTCGTGCTGCTTTGAAAATAGTGATCTTCTGAAATATTTAGGAGAGCAAAAATGTTTGGTCACGTGGCTGCCTTCTGAACTTCCTGGAATGCTGTCTAGGTGTTCTATGTGAAAAATTTTATTTTAAAAGCAGCGATCCTTCTTCTATAAGAAACTTGTTCTAAGTTTTACGTAACAAAAGTTTAATTTGGGCGAGTTGGTTCATCGTGGTTGTGTGCTAGTCACAGTGCGACAACTTAAGGAAGAGACAGAAAGGACAGGAAAGAGCAACGACTGTCAACTGAATTTAATGAATGTCCTACGAGCGCTTTTATACGGAGTATAAGAACCGTGCTCATGTGCGACGGCACGTGTGACCACTACAAAATAATCTTAACTGAGAAAAGAATAATCCCTCTCGGAAAGGATAAGTAAACGTTTAAAGATGCACTGATCATTGGTTTACCTGATAAAAAATACTGCACACGTTAAATTGGCCGTAAGTAAACCAATTCTCGTGACGAATGGTGCAAGATTGACCATTTCTGGTGCTGTTTAGTACACACACTTTTGAAAGCTTGCAAGGGTGGAAAACAACACGTTAATATCATATCTGCTGGCTATTTTTTTAATTGCGAGACACGTGATGTGGTATAACATGCAAAGGTTTAGGTCATTGTTTTTTGTTGGTCCTGTCTTTTATAACTTTACTTTCTGCAGGAGAATTTCGCAAACGGGTGTGATGATTCTGTTAAGATATCCAGCATCTTTTAGTTTTTATCTCTAGTTTTTAAGCCTGACCTCACCCTTGTGCTAACATGACTTCTGAAGGTTGGCTTGAATACATCTGGTATCAATTCCTCTTTTTACTATTTTTGAATGCCCACTATCAAAAGGCAGAACATTCTAAGCACTCCTGGGCTGATAGCACCAGCCAATTTCCCAACAGCATCATCACACTCATTTGTGAAACCCTCCTGCAGAAAGTAAAGTTAAAGGAAACAAGACATAAAGAAAAACAGAATGACCAATGACCTTTGCATGGTACACGGTACTAAGGTGTCTCACAATTTTAGGAAAAGATCCAGCAGATATGACATTGTTGTTTTCCACCCCTTGCTAGCTTTCAAAAGTGCATGTACTTACAGAAACAGGAATAGTCAATATTGCACCATTCGTCACTAGAATAGGTTTACTGAATGCCAATCTAATGTGCATGAGATATCGCTAACATGTGGAAAAGCAAACATAGGACAAACTGGGCAATGCTTCAATGATCGAGCGAGCAGCATGCTTTAAATGTTAAGAAGGGCTATAGTAGTCTCATGGCCGGACACCGTAAAGAATGTAAATGCAGTCCTAGGTCTCATAAAACACGGTTTTTGAAAAAAAAGCAAGCAGAAAAATTGAGAGATTTTAGAACTTTTTATCAGGAAGGCCAAAGTTCAATGCATCAGTACACCTTTACATTTTTTTCCGAAAAAGAGTATTCTTTTCTCGGTTAAAATTATTTTGTCATGGTCACATATGTGTTGTTGCAGAAGAGCCCTGTTCTTGTGCTCAGTATAAAAACGTTCGTAGCACCTTCAATCAAATTCAGTTGACAGCGCTCTTTCCTGTCCTTTTTGCGATAATATTTTTATTATAGAATGAATTTAATTTTGTTACACTTTAGGTACAGTGATGAGTTTTCATTGTATCACAACATGGAGCAAGTTGCATCTTGATGGACAAAAATCACAATTTAGTGAAAATCGTGATATTTTCTCGTATATTTTAGCAGCTTGAGAGGTCTCAAGATATTTTTCCTCAAAGTATACTTTCTGTGGAGTAAGTATTCACTGTTCAAATATTCATAAAAAGTGCAATATTGCAATATAAATGCAAACATAACGCATTTTGGCTTTTTTCTTGGAAGCAAGTGTGGCAAAAACTTGCACTAATATTATTGAGCTTCAAATATCTTACAGAAGCACATCTACTTAACAGGTAGACTGAACTTGCCTTTGAAAATATAATCGGTAGTTTCAGAACGAAATTTTCCACAAACAGCACACAGACGGCATTGTGCTAGGAAGTTATAAGCCTGCCACATGAACAATCTTTTTTTCTCGCTGAAATATTCTAGAAGTTCACTGTTTTCAATGCTTCCAACATACAGCCTATTCCTGAATTGAGGTGAAGGGTAAGCCTACAACTCAAAAATGGCACTTACGAAAGCCTGAACTCACCTAAGAATCAAATTACTTATATGGTAGTGAGCCAGTGTGAAAAACAATTCCTA